ACTTTAAAGGTGATGATGACATGTTAGTGTTGTGTTTTTTTCCACTTTTTCCTAGTGGCTAAAAAGATATTTTAGTGTAGGTTCACTTTGCATTCTCTCCTCAGATTGAGTCTGAAACATCCAACAGTGAGAAGGACCTGAATGACGCCATGGACCGGCTGGGCACACTGGGACGGAAGATCACCGCCCTGAAGACCAAACGGGCCAACAACAGCATGGCAGCAGCCCGAGCCGAAGAGACGGCCACCATGGCACGAGACAAGGCCAACGAAGCCAAGCAGGTGTGTGTGTGTTCGTGTGTGCGCACGCATACTTTTCCTCATTAAAAGCATTCACAGCAGTTAAAGAGAAACCTCTCCTGTCTTGATGTTCAGATTCTTGATGGCCAGCTGACGGATAAATACCATGAGGTGCAGCAGCGGGTTGACACAAAGGCCAAAGCTGTGCAGGACGCCAAGAAAAGAGCGGAGAGCCTCAGAGATGAAGCAAAGGAACTGCTGAGAGATGCCCAGAAGAAGCTCCAGAGACTAGCAGGTACTCATTCATGTCTCTGTGTGTGCCTGTGTGTATGTAGATGAACATATATATGTACATTATATACATGACATTGTTTTATATACTTGTGTGTGAATTAAATTCTTGACTAATGAAAAGTACTCAGTATTATCCCATTTAATTCAGAACTTTTGTACAAAATGATCAGATTTATGAGAATTTGAGTCAGTATACTTGTTATTATCTATTTAGACGATGTAATTGCGTATCACGATATCTCGATATATGATGTCATCACGATATGATAACTTTGAAAGAATATAAATGATCATATTGAATTATCGCCCAGCTCTACACAGAGAGAGAGAGAGAGAGAGAGAGAGAGAGAGAGCAACTTCAGTCCTTGCTCATGTTTCATCAGCATACCTACGAAAAGGGACCGATCAAGGGATTTCATATATAGATGTGTAACCATTCCTGACTCTCCTGCTGCCCACAGAGCTGGAGAAAAACTACGAGGAGAACCAGAAGAGGTTGGAGGGGAAAGCTCGTCAGCTGGACGGCTTGGAAGACAAGATGAAAGCCATCCTCAATGACATCAACAAACAAATCCAGATCTACAACACATGCCAGTAACTCAGGACTCCATGTCCTAAAAAACAGCTGCACCACCGTCTTTGTCTGCCGACACAGTAACTGTACAAGAGACTTTGAAGAAACAGTTCAAGAAGACTTGGCTTGGGTGGTGATTTTATCACTCTGTAAGCACATTTGCATATTTTGTGTGCAAACTGTCTTTTTGGTAGGAATTTGAAAACGGTTGCTATTATAATTATACACATAACTGATCATGAACAGGGTGTCTGATATCACATATTTTATTTGGACTTTAATTTGTGCACATTATTTTTGTTTTGGATTTTCAAAATAATCTGGCAATGTATCTGTGTTTAAATGTGTGTTTTGAACATGAAAATTATATTTTAGAATATGTCAATAATACTGAAATTTGGGTGACAATAATGCATTGCAAACAATCTGTAGTTTCACAGAGACTTTGTAAGTGAATTGTATAATCAGCGGGTCGGTATCATTTTCTCCCCTTTATCTATGAGGTCTCTGTTACTACTGGATGTAGATTCAGAGACCTCATTTAAACTGCATTGGACAAAGTCTTCTTTCAGTGTGACACACAACAGCTTTTGAGAACATAAATTCAGAATGACAATCTGTTAAAATTTTACTTTTAACTACTTTTTTTGGTGAAAAAAAATCACATAAAAGTAATTATGATAAGGCATTAATCCTTTTTTGTATTTTTCAATAAGCCCCAAAAATGGAGAGCGGGGGTATGGTCACCACTGCTGTAGATCCTTGTCCCTGTGTAGTGTTAAGGACATCCCTTTACAGTAGAATGGAGAGATGGACACACTGCATTCATATGGATTTTAAATGTATTAATACCAACTGTGGTGCTAGGAATGCATTTTTTGTATTATGTCTGCCTTTATACAAATGACAGGGAAACAAATGATATGACCATGTTTATGTAAAAATAATATCTACTTCTTGACTCTGCTAAGCCAAAAGATATAACAAGCCCAAAACCCTCCTCTGCCTGTAGTAAGAGGATGGCTGTACACCAATACTATACAGGAATGATGTCATCATGAGAGCAGTGGACGCTAACAGCGTGTGCTATCTGCGCGCCTCTAGTGATGTTGTTATTGGTCGGTCTGTCTTTATTTAGGTGAAATGGCATTCCCTCTGGAACCCCCCTCAGGACAAACTTCCCTTTTTTTAAACAGCATATTCTTTTAGCCCTGGGCTAAGAGCTGACCCTGAGATAGTTTAGCCCCTTTTCACACACACATTGTTAACCCAGGGTTGACCTGAGCCCAGGGCTATAACACTCACACTGCACTTCTACTAGCCCAGGGTTAAATGTCCATTGCAACACGTGACTAACGTGTTTACATTCTAGAATGACTGCAATATAACAGATTGGACACCAAAAATGTACAATCCAGCAGTGAGGGAACCAAAGACGTTAATTATGATGCAGTTGCTTGGCTGCCAATAAGTGACACTCCCCCACTGCAGCATGACCCTGCGCTGTAGCGCCACACCGCCTGATTTGGTATGAAGTGGTGTAAAAAGCAACATTAGGTCATTTTGAGAAATATGCTTTTTTGCTCTCTTGTCGAGAGTTGGATGAGAGGATTGATACAACACACTGTAGGATGAATATGCAGTCTGTTAGCTTAGCTTAGCATAAAGACTGTTATCGGCGGGGAAACAGCGAACCTGGCTGTAGTTTTGGCTTTCTCTGACTTCCTGGAGTTTTGCAAAGAATATATAAATGAATAGGTTCCTTGGAGTGTTGTCACTGCGAAGTTGCCGCAACCAGTGGAGAGTCCAGCAAGTCTCTACTTCTGCAAAAAAAAAAGTCATAATGATTTTCTCCTCTAAATCTTGGCAAGAAAGCAAATAAGCATAATTCACAAAATGTTGAACTAGGAATGAATTTGTATGGATGCCAAACTTGTGGTGCACAGATTGTGAATGTTTGCATCAAATGTGGTGTCATGGAATATGAAATACGATCTGTAGTAATGGATGCCTCACTGTAGGGACATAGGACTCTACTCTGTGGAGTCTACCGTGTGTACAGTGTTTAATCCTGCCTTAATGTATGCAAGTGTCTTGGACATTTACTCATATACTATTTGCATGACAATTTATGTTTTTGGTAAACATAGCAAACCAAAAAACTCACTTTGTACACACATGTCCCTCAGTTCATCCATCGACATTGTACGTGATTCTGATGAGTAAATGCCAAAGCAGAAATACCAAAAGAAGCTTGTGTACAGTTTTGTGAATAAAGTTTGGATAACTTAACATTTCTCTGTGTAGAAGTGGCTTGTTTGAGCATCATATTTCTGTATCCATGCTTGACACTGTCTCATTTTATTACCTGGCTGTCTGAATGTGCACGTGTTCACACACCAGCGTCTGCAAGAGGGTAAGATTTCTATTTTGGTGTTCTGCAGGGATGCTATTGACTGCTTTCATGAGTCCTTGATGTACCCTTTGTCTAAGTCTGTGTTGTTGCAGACATTAAAGCTGTCTCTTACCCGAACCTTCAAGCTGTTACTGATCACTGTAAAGGTCAGTATTAACCGGAGAGAGCAGCCCTAAAACACAGTTGGCAGAAGGGAAATTCCAGATCAAAGAGAAAGCAAAAGTAAAGGAGCTACGTTAGAATTAAGGGAGAACAGAAAGACACTTTACCTGTAAAACAAGCTTTGGCTGTATCGTTTTTGGCTATAGAATATTGTCTTGCTAAATTAGTCAGTGTTTTGTTGATGTTTGGAGGCTCAGTTTATTTCATCTTTTGATTTCAGAATAATAAAAGTTATTTTAACAACAGTTCTACATCGCAATAATTTGGGTGATAATGATAAACCTCAGTGTACTTGAACAAAACAGTCTCCATCTTCAATAATTAGATTTTATTTTTATTTCTTTACTCCCCATGTAAAGGTGAGGGAAACGTGCAAGTAGACACTGATGAGGCCAGAGATAAAGAACAATTATATAAAGAGTAAACAATGTTTGAAATGTGGTGCTTCTGATGCAAAATATAAATGTGAGCTGATGTATAGTGACATGTTTGGGATTTTTGTTTGAATGTTATTTTCAAGTAATCAGACATCAGCGCCGTGATGACTTCTTGGGATGCTCTCAGCATGTGGTCATGCTCCACCACTGGAGTTGCACAGGTTTGCATCATCACTGTGGACATCGTTGTAGTGCAGACTCGGAGGATGACACTACCGTTTGGGACAAGGCCCCTGTCTAAAAATATGTTGATGTTTTATCCAGCCCCCTTTTTGGAGGGTTGAAAAAAATATCTGTGGGAACATAGGCCCATATAAATAGTTGACATATGAGCACCATTGAATGTTGACTGGAGGGATGGTCTTCAGCTGAAGCAGAAGTTCCCCCAGTTCACTGTGGCTAGAGCTCCAGAAACCAACCAGTATCCCTACACTTGAATACTATCCTGTCTGAAGTTTGCTGTGCTGTTGTTATTTAGTGATACTTCAGATAAAAACTGTATTGACATATATGTTCCATAATTATACTACATCCTCCATTCTACTATTAACTCAGATTTGACCAATGGCCCAAACACAACAAGGCCCTCATTATTTCAACGTTTATTTTGTTTTAGTGGTGCTGCATATTTCCGTGGCCCTTTTCCCCCGTTGTTGATAAAATCTTGGTAAATGAGCTATAGCAAAATATCATATAATGTATAATGGAACATGTTTGCAAACCAAATAATTTCAGCCTGGCCTCAATGTTGACTGTATAATAATGACTGACTGTATTGTGTTTGAGTGTGTGTGTGAGAGAGAGAGAGAGAGAGAGAGAGAGAGAGAGAGAGAGAGAGAGACAGATCACGTGACCGCGACAGCCAGGAAGTGGCCTATGCGTGCACTCGCTTCACGTTTGTCCGGGCAGCAGTGTAATTTGTCCCAAACAAAGTAGGAATCACCCCGCAGAGGCCGAATGACACCAACAGACTGAACCGTTTTTTAATTGCTGCCTTTTGTTTGGATCTCTGAAATAAATAGTGTCAAAGTAACCAGAAATGGGTCCCGGATAAAGGAAATAATATTCCAGAAACCGTGGACTGCGGGGTTTCGAGTAGGGGCAGGAGCGCAGCGGCCCGCGGCCGAGGAAGGAGCTTAGCAGCTGGGAGAAGCAGCAGTCTCCGGCCATTGTGTGATAGGAACGGAATTCAATTCCCGCACAATTGAAGCGTCGTAAGTCTCCCGTTTTAATGACAATATTAATTTGGCATTAATTCACAGCCGGGCGTTAGGTGTCACGGAATGTCATGTTGTGTTGAATACAATTGGTAACGTTAGCCATATCAACCGTCTGGTGTCAGCTAGCGTTAGCTTGATGTGGCTAATGACGTTAGCTTCTCGAAGACTGTAGGAGCGTTTGATTGTAAGACCTGTCCTGCGCTGTGTTGAGAGATTGGCCTTCAGCTGTAATGATCGTACTGATAAACGAGCGTTATAACCCTCTCTGATATCACACAGTAGTAATGTGGGCGGTTATTTATACTCATTGAAGCTAAGACGGCTTTTCTACTTCAAAAAACTGCATATTTTTAAATGACAATGTTCAGCCCAACAATTGTTTTCACGCATTCCTCAATATGGATCAGGTACATTAAAGTATCGCAACATTTTAGTATTATTGACTCAAGGTAACTTGCTTATTGCAATTAATGAGGTTGATGAAACATAGATACGTGACCGTTAGTTCAGCGCCTAAGGAAATTACATTACTTTAAGACCCATATCGACAGGCACGTGATAGTCCAAAACACGTGGGCCTTGAATTCAACGAACCTCTGCGGTCGGCTGGCTAACCTAACAGTTCTACCAAGCTAACAACTGTGGAGACGGAAACGGGAAGCTACGTTGTTAAGCTCGCTAGCTAAGCTTAATGAACGCCACCCATGTTATTAGTAAATACGCTGTACTGAACGCCGAAGAAGATGGCTGATGTAACTTGTCCTTTGTTTGTCATTTGAATGTCCATGTTAGCAACTTGCTGTTGCTATGCTAAGGAAACGAGGCAAGGCTCTAAGTCGGGCTAGTTCGCCAAACCTTATGTGCTGCCTTATGTGTCCTTTTGTTAGACACAATGTCCACGTCTCGCATTGTTGTAGTTATTTGATGCGTGCCCCAAATTAGTTTTAAATACTCAACCACTCTCCCTCCGTGTGTGTGTGTGTGTGTGTGTGTGTGTACAAACATAATAAAGGCACATTGTCATAAGTTGTTTAGCTTTACACTGTTAAACCTTGCACATACCACATATTGATGTCAGACAGTTATGGTCATTACTATTCATTTCTCCACTTGACTGTTAAATGTTTCTCTGTCCTCTGCCTCAGGTCCCCATCCCTAACCAGCCTTCCTGATTCTGTTCTGGGAGAGTTCAGACCAGTATCATCGCCAAGATAGCCGGGCCAGGCAGGAAGAGGCACACCTCAGATCCAGACCCCAGCAGCGGTAGTGATTCCGGCGACGGGCGGCCTGTTAGTGCCAAGTGCCCGAAGATGGCCAGCAGCGGTGGTAGCGGTGCAGCCAGTAACGGGACAGCGGGCCGTCGTGGAGGCGCTCACCAGAGAGGGGGCGGCGGTGGGGACAACAGCTCAGACCAGTCCTCCAGTACCAGTAAGAAGAAGCAGAAGGACAGGGCCAACCAGGAGAGCAGAGAGGCCAAGAGGGCAGCCGCTGCAGCAGTGGACGGGGTCATTGCAGAAGTCAAGAAAGGTAAGTAGGACTAAATGTGTTGTACAAGTTGTTGTGCATTGTTTACATTCATGTGTACTAGCTTATATTTACTAGGATTAGCGTGAAACTAATGACAGGAAAGGGTTGTGCACCATACAAAGTGGTCAAAATATGCACAGTATGACCACTAGTAGTGGCACTAGTAGAATAGTTTTCACGAGGTGGCATCATATACAACATAGCAAACCAGGCACTGTCACATTAGATTTGTGTGTGCATTATACAGATGCAGTATTGTTTTGAATTTGTCATACATACTCTGAATTTATTCTCACCACTGTTGTGCTTTTACATTGTCGTATGTGATGGTAAACTGAATATCATGGGCTTTTTGGAGTGTTGGGCGTACACTACTAAACAAGCAATATTTTGATTGCACGATAGTGATAAGTTGAAATAACGATCAATCATTTTTAGTTGCAGGCCTGTATTGACATGTTATAAAAGTGTGGACAAAGTTGGCACTGGCATAAATGCAAGGCCTACATATTTCCATCATTATCTGGAAAACACAGTTTCACAGTTATGGGCATGTTACGGCTGCACAGTGCAGACCATAAACTCTATTGTGGTTCATTAACACATTTATGATATGAATTCTTTATGCAGCAATTTCTGCATATTTTGGTCTTTTTTAAATCTATTTTACATGACACATTGAAACACACAAAACATCACTCAGGAGTTTCTCTGCTCTGGACAAACAGTGTGATAAGAACTATTATGTAGTGGCAATGTTGTCCTTTTGCTGTTAATTTCATTCCTTTGTTGCAGTTCATGCTGCTGCCTGAAGGCTTTTTATCATGAGCTGACCACTTAGTACATGTTGTACTTTCCATTTATTGTGGTGTGTGTGTCTGTCACTGGAAGTATTTGTTTCTGTTTGCATCTTACATACATATGTTGACTCTCTCTCTCTCGACCATATGTTGATGTAAGCTTTTTTTTTTTTTTTTTCAGTTTAAAAATAGAGGGAACTGTTGGTTGTCCTGCTTGACAAGTGAAGTATTTATTATTGATATTAAAGTATTCAGCATAATTAGATTTGTGGTTTCCCTTTACTATCTTTGTATTTACTCCGAGTCGTGTTCTCTTAGTAGGAGAAATGTGCTCACTAATCCTTGTAGGTGTTCAAGAGGAAAACAACCACACTTCCTCATCCTTTATTTGTTCTGCAGAGGAATCATTGCAGTGTTGTGATGGATACACCTGACACTGGTTCCTCCCTGGAGGTAGAAATGCTGCTGTAAGGAATACCACATTCCCCATAAGCCCTTTACCAAAGAGCCTGCTCATACTAAGCTGTGTATCTAGCACTTAGTGTATGTGTGTCTACTTGGAAGACCAACTTGTTATATTTCTGCTTAAATGTGTAGTACTGTAATAAGGTCAGCGGTCAAACTTAAATAATAGATCTTATGTTGATGACAACACACAGCTGATGGGGCACTGGAGCAGCTCCAGTATGGATACTTGATATTGGATCTATGCAGTATTTGACAGATACTCAATCACGCTGGATTTGGTGTTTGTTCTCTCTATTTCCTTGCTGAATATCACAAGACGGTATTTTGTACAATACCACAGACCAGGCTACTTACGGAGTGAACACAGGTACAGGAGAAGGATGGAGTAGGCCGTGTTTTGATTGGTCAGTGCTCTGTATTGCTAGTGGATACACGTTATTTTGCTGGCACTTTGTTATCAACAGTGTGCCTCATCATGCTGGTTCTGTTTTGACATGTGTTTCGGTTATTTGTATTCTGCGTCATGCTGAAGAGATGTATTTTTAGCTGAGAGAGTCCGGCCCTTATCTGGGTAACTTTGGTTTGTCACGGTCATGAGAATGTTCTTCCTCTCTCTCTTTACACCGTCTTCTTCAATACCTACCAACGCTAACCGAAGGCCCGAGGAAATCCGTCTTTATTTCCAGATTCTGTTTTATTTTTTCCTAAATTCCGTGTTTTTCGTCTAAATTTTTCTGAATTGTGTTTACGATTTTAAGCATATTTTATCACCAGAAAAGGTGATATATATTCAAAATGTAATGAATATTAATGAATTTGATGTAACACAACATTGCACTATTTTTCTTTCGATGAAAGTGATTCAATCCAGTTGTAAAACAAAACACTCAACACATACAGTACTCACAGTGTGAAGCACTGTATTACAGCTGTAGCTGTTTGTATTGGCTGTAGCTTTCACAACAGTCAGAGATTTAGGCGGCTAGGTGATGCATAGTTCTGTAGTTGAACAGCGATTGCAGTTTGCCTCTGATCTGAGGCTTTTTTAGGGAAGCTCTAAAAACTATCTGCGAGTAAATGACACCATAACAGCATAGTTTTCTTTCTGTTCATTAGGCGTAGCTGGTTCTCATAGATTGCGTCCACATTTTGGCAAATTCCGCAATTTTCCAGGAATAAGAGCTCGACCACTCAATGGCTCCGGGCGATATATCTGCAGATATTGGCTTATTGTAGATGTATTGGCATGTCGGCCAATACGTAACAATTGCAGAACAGAAATAGGTTTTAGGTCAACAGTGTCACCGGTACATAGTTTGCCCACCAAAGGGCACTGACGAGCTTATTTCTGTATCCTGGTCTTTTATTTTTATTTTTATTAGCTTTTTCATTGAAGATTGGACAAAGCATTGGCATCAGGATTGTTTGTATTGAGTATATATATATTTGAAAATGTATGCTTGTATGTATTTGTTTAAAAGCTAGCATCCGATATATTGTTATCAGAACTTCAAAATGTTGATATTTAGTCTGAGTTTATTTTGCTCAATTAAAAAAATACACGAACATAACCGAGATGAATAATATCAGAGTGCAGGAAGAGGCAGAGAGCCCACTGTGGCGTTGCTCCACCAGGAATGCACCTGTCACCAGCTGAAAGGGATTGGGTGTTGCTTTTGACCTTTCTGGAACCATTACGTGTGCGAGAGGATTGGAGACGAAGTGAAGAAGGACAGTCGAGGCTCTCTGGTTGTTGAACACTGAATCGGAGTCGGAGTGCGTGTGACATCTATACAGGACTTCTTTGCCTGCGGGGAATCTATCGCTCGCTGTATTTCTGGGATGATATTTTCTTTTCCAATCACTGCTTTGACTCTGAGGTCACTATGAGAAGTGGTACGTGGTTTGTTTTGCGTTTCACGTTTGGATATTTTTTTGCCAAAGTTTCCTCTCTCGACCTTGAAAAGCGTGTGTATGGCTCGGGAGCATGTTTTCTATAATAAGCCGATCACTTGCCTTAACGTCATTGTTTTGCTCGGTATGCCGTTTGTGTGGCGCAGACGGTTTTAGATGTCCCGTCTGTGATTGCTGAGTTCACTGGACTGTCTCCCAGTCTGTGCCTGAGTGCCCCCCACTGACCCACTTGAGCTTATGAGTGAGATCGTCTGCTATGTGAATTTGGCAGCAGGTGCAATTCAGTGTGTGCGTCCATGTTCTCTCGGGGAAGTAGAGATACAGTATGTTCACCACCGGTTACTTCACTACCTCACTCCCATTCTGCTGTTTGCTTGTGTTTTTATTTTATTCCCTGTGTCCATATTCACAAAATGCAATTGACTGCTTTGTCTCATATTAGATTTTTTAGAAATGGAGAACAATCTCTACTGTGGCCTGTGTGTAATATTTGTGAATATATTGTAATGATTAGGGTGGAAAGAGGAAGTGCATTGTTTTTCCGAGTTCCTTCTCTGGTTGTGTGACTGTCTGTTCCTCTGTGTTTCCAGATGTGTTTGTGGACTGGAAGCAGAATGTCAATGAAGTGACTGTCAGGCTGCGCTGTGGGGACGGGGTGCAGAGGACAGAGGACATCAACACAACCTTCACCGATACACACTGCCATGTGTGCTTCCCAGGTCAGTCATCGTAAAGCATGGAACAGAAACAGAAGCTACTATGGTGTGTATATGTATATATATACACACACAGTATTTATATATCTACCACAAAAGAAGAACTGGCGCAGTTGCGCATTTGGTTTGGGGTTAGGCTTTGTTGAACTTGTTTTAACTTACGCCTATATTTGGTCTTTTCTGCAATTTTACAATTTATGTTGAGTCCCGTTCTGCTCTAATAGCATCTGTGTGTGTGTGTATATATATATATGTGTATGTATGTGTGTGTATATATATATATATATATATATGTGTATGTGTGTATATATATGTGTATGTATGTATGTGTGTATATATACAGTGCATCCGGAAAGTATTCACAGCGCTTCACTTTTTCCACATTTTGTTATGTTACAGCCTTATTCCAAAATGGATTAAATTCATTATTTTCCTCAACATTCTATACACATCAACCCATAATGACAAAGTGAAAACTGTTTTTTGCAAATTTTTGCAAATCTATTAAAAATAAAGAACGAAAACATAAC